TATATATATATACAAATATACATACACACACGGGCGCGCGCGCACATACACACACACACACACACACACGCAAAGACCCACCCCAACCAGACAACCAGCTACATGCACCCAGATGACAGATAGGACTCGTGGACCAACACAGGCTATACCAAGCCACGGCAGCCGCGAAATGCCGCAACCCCCGATACATAAAACTTAACGCCGAAGTCCTCACAAACCTCGGTGATCCAAAGTGGGAAGGCCTACATCGTAAGAGGGATGCAGACCAGAGCCAAAGGCTACAAGAACCCGGAGCAGAGGAGCAAAGCCTCTGCCAAGCCGAAACTGTGGAAGTAGCAACTCGGAGCCGGCAGTGCACACGGCGGCAGAACCGAGACGCCACGAGGGAGAAAGAGGAAAAGGACAAGAGGTAGACCTGGAGGCCCCAACAACTAAAACAGGCACCTTTCCCTAACCCCCCAGGTACCTACTATATAGGGTACTAGAGCCCCTAAGGCCCTATATAGTAGGTACCTGGAGGGTTAGGGTTTTGTTTGCCTTATCTGACGGATCTGAAACCCCAAATCCCCCCATCCTCCGCCAGCACGCGCTTGTCACCGGGCTGCGGCGCCTCCTTTGGGCGCGCTTTGGCCCGCGGGGCCCACCTAAGCAGGGAGGGTCGCCTGCTCGATCTTGCAAGATTCCCCAGAGTCTTTCGCGAGTCTTGAATCGAAACTCCCTAGTCGCCCTACTCCTAAACACGCCTGCAACTCATGGAAAAAATCAAAACCTCTATATTCCCTAAACACAAAACCCTGGTGTTGCTCCCGGGCTCACGATTCCACAATGCACCAAAGCCTCAACCGAAACATTCTAATCCCGACATCCCAAACTTCAAGCCGTACATCCAAAAACCCTGAACCCTAAAACCCCCACCCCAATGCCTCACGGGCCTACATTCGAGGCTTCCGTAGGGTTTGAGGTTTCAGGGTCTGGCTTTAAAGCTCAGGATTGGCTTCAGGGTTTCGGGCTCGGGGTTGGAGGCCTTCTGGGTTAGCGGTTCAGGGTTTCTGGGTTTGCAAGCTTCAAGGGGACAGGGTTTTGAGGTTCAGGGCTGGTACTCTCGACAGCTGAATGCCCCTCTGCGTGCTACTTGGGTCTGACGCCAAAGGACTAAGCTCTTCTCGGAAAGGAACCTAGAAACCCTGAACTAAACCCTAGACCCTAAACCCGAAACCCTAAACCCTAGACCCTAAACCGTTTCGACAAAAGAATGAAGACCATTGAACTGCATGCCCAGAGGCTTTGCCCATGAGTTCTGCGGGGCGGCCGCTGGGTAGGCCGACCTGCTGGGCGTCTTCATTTATGCTTATCTTACGGACTATGTGCTATATATATATGCTATATCAGACAAATATATATATGTAGGTATGTATATATACTGCATTATAGGATATGTTACTCTTTGGGGTCTGTTTTCGGATTTGGAGAGCACAAGAGTCGATTATGAGGCTCTTGAGGGATTCATACCACTCGCGAAAGGAAGCCACAAACTCACGACTACAAATGATGATGAAGCCCGGTACTTAAGGCATAGACCCTGACTTAGAAAAGACATCTGCCGAACCTCCTGCGATCAAACACTGCAGAACAGCCCCGAGCCTCTCGCTCAGAACGACCCGATTTAGGGTTTAAGGTTTAGGGTCTATAGGGTTTAAGGTTTAGGGTTTTAAGGTTTAGGGTTTAGGGTTTGGAGGTTTAGGGTTTAAGGTTTAGGGTTTCAGGTTTCGGGTTTAGGGTTTTAGGCTTAGGGTTTAGGGTGGCACTAGGCTTTACACCCCGTTTGGCAGCCTTTTGGCTCCGATGACGGGTGGAGCTGCGGCTTCAGCCATCGGCCTGCGAGACGGCTTGCTTCGATGTGATTATTATATACTAGCATTATGATAAAGGATCTATTATGTTTGCCATGATTATTATATACCAGCAATGTGTCATTCTGATAAATGGTCTATTATGTTTGCCATGATTATTAATCGTTTTTGGTCTTATTATTCTTGTCCCTTGTAGTGCCTTTATGGTACAGACCTCTTACAGAACTCCTCATAGAACCCGTAAAGTGCCCTTAAAGTACGCTGACGGAACCATGATAATACCCTTACTGTACAGGTCTCAGGCTACGGCCTGACCCTGCGCGTGGATGCCGGAACCGCGAAGGCTTGCACAGTGGTTTTGAGGGTAGTACATAGGTTATGGAACTTAACTTTCAGTTGTACAGATTTTCAACCATAGTGCTTGCATCTGGAGCGCAGCGTATATGGGTGCGATGGCAGGTGTTCTGAGAATTTCGACAGAAGAGAACAAATAGCGAAGCTTCAGGTGCAACCAAAACGGCAACTTGAGCGCAGAAAAAGGAATGAGCCTCTTTCTCGTCGAAGCTCCAATGGGCGGCCTGCGATGGAAGGTTGGCTCAACTGAAGTATTCATGAGCCAGCCTAGGCCCTAGAACGCAACCCAAAACCCACTATGACTCGGGCTTTCGGAACTGAAGGTCACTGGTTGCTAAGCTGCAGTGCCGGCCAAAGTAACAGAACTATGTATATATGATCGGGGAGAGGTGGCGGTCCGTGCCACACATTGGTTGTTGAGGTTATTGACATTACAATATGATATGATATATATATATATATAGACATCATAATAATATTATATGAAAACAATCGTAATAATAATAATAACAATAATAATAATAACAACAATAATAATAATAATAATAACAATATAACAATAGTAATAATAATAATAATATAGCAATAATAATGATAACAATAATAATAACAATAATAATAATAGTAATAATAATAAGACTATATAAGTGTGTATTAGGGTTTGGCCGGTTTAGGCTTTTGCTTCACTCATGTGCCAGAACATCTCTTCCGCTGACCCGGAGCGTGAAGGAAGATCTGCTAGAAGGAGTCGTACGGGCACAGGCGATCTCTGCATGCAGAAGCTGCGATTAACGTATCGATTTGGGTTTGCCATCGAGGAGGCCGTCTACAAGGTCAACCCTCCAAGCCTCAATGCTAGATCCCTCAATCCTAAACCCTAAACCCCGAAGTTTCAGCGCAAGCCTGCTGCGGGGTGGCACCGTTACGGGCGCGGCTTTGGAGGGTGTGGAGGCCTCCCTCCTCTTCTTCAGCGAGTTGCGGATTGAAAAGCTCAGTTTAGGAGTTTAGCCCCTCAACATCCCTAAAGCCTACACCCCCAAACCCAACCGTTCGGGCCCAAGAAGTATCACATTCCACCCAGAGTTCCCAAGGTCTTCTTCTGCCTGTGTCCGCTGACTTTGACATCTAATGGAAGATCGGGTTTAGGGTTTAGGGTTTACTGGAAGATGTGGGGCGGGGTTGTTGACTGATAAGTTTGTAGAGGCGTCATCACATTATGGGAACTACAAAAAGGCAAGGCTTGAAACCGATATGTATAGTATACGACCACCCCATGCAGACTGGAAGGGCCATCTTGGTTTCAAGTATTCAGACTTATATCTGATGCTTCGATCCTGATATTCTGCTTCTTAACAACGAACTCGTAAGCCATGAAATCACGAGAAGCCGAGGACGAAAACCTCTCCACATCGCTCAAAACTCTGCGGAACAAACCAAAAATCAACCTCTTGAAGGTAAAACACTTCCCTCGACCAGGGACCTGCTCCTGCCCACCCCCGTCCTGCCCAGAAGCGGTGCAGCAGGCGTTGCTTCTGCCCTGGTCAGGCTGTCCGGCTGCTGGGTTTAGGATTTATCCGCCAGTTCATCGATTTCACAAGCTCCTCTTCTGAGGCCACCTTGATCAGCAGTCTATCTTTGTGAATAAGGTTTAGGGTATATAGGGTTTAGGGACATGAGAATAGGACAATAGGATACACTATCTTCGATATTCCTGAAACTCACAAACACTTCTGCAGACACCAAGTCTGCTGTCCCCTTGCCCGAAACCCTAAACTCAATTGCCGTATCGCCATTGTACTACACTACACCTTAGACTCGTAAGCTACAACCCTAAAGCCTGGAAGCCCAAAACACGCCAAACCCGTCTACCCTTCAACCCTCAAAGCCCTAAACCGGTGCATGAACCCTAGAGCGCAAACGCGCTGACCCTAAACCCTTAACTCCTAAATTCCTAAACCCTACACCCCTACACCCTAAAACCCAAAAACCCTAAACTCCTAAACTCCTAAACCCTACACCCCTAAACCCCTATAAACCCTAAACTCTGCCTCTCGGAAGAGGCCGCCGGCAGCTCCGAAGACTCAGCCGGATCCGTCCTTAGGCCCCCGAGCCTCCCCAAAGCAAAAAACGACTTAGGCTTCGGGGTCCCAGAAGTGTTTGGGGCTCAGGGCTTATAGCGCTTGTAGGATTTAGGTCGGTTTGGGGTCTAGGGGTGTTCGGGTTTCGGGCTTAGGGAAAAGAGACTGGGATGTAGGATTTAGTGCTTCGAGTTTCGGGAATAGGGTTCATGGTCTCGGATAGAGCGGCAAGATTTGGCTGATGCCGAACACGCATATACAGTCCGGTACGGTAGAATCTGCAGTCCTGGCCAACACATGCGCACTCGAACCTTCCCTGCCACAGGGATTGAGGGCGTGGTATGCACACTAACTTCAGCACTATTGCTTGACGAGAAGCTGTTGATCTGTGCAGTCGGACAGATGATTTCAAAACGAAGCCTGCAAACCACCGACAAACACCCTGTAGCACTTCTCACCACAGTCGTCATTTACATGCTTGCCCTTCGGTGGCGCAAGCAAGGCAACTCTCATAGCGAACCAAGCGGCGGTGTCCGGTTTTTTGCCATCCTTGGTTGTGCAACTTGTTGCGGATAGATGTAAAACCCTACAGAGTCCTTAAATGTAGTATCCCCGTACAGACCCTTAATACACTACAGACCCCCTGAAGGAACCCTAAATGCAGTAGCAAACAGATAGGAAGACACAGGGACCGGAAGTAGAGACGGAGAGCACAAAGGATGTAGAGAAGGAGGGGAGGCAAAGGAGGAGCGCAACCCAAGTACTATGAACCCTAAACCCTAAACCCTAAACCCTAATAGGTCAGATTAAACTCTACCTTTTTCGGTGGCGAAAATCCAAGAGCTCTGAGCCTCAGATGCCAAAGAAAGCCCAACCAGACCTTCTAGAGGCAACTCATAGGACAAACTGTAGAAAAAAAAGTAAAGTAGAGTAGATTATAAGGTTCCCTTCCGATAAAAACCCCTACAAAAACCTACAAAAGCCTCTGCCAACAGGTCCCCTAAAGCTTGTGCCTAGGTGCGGCCTGGCTTTGGACCGAAGAGCGGCTTTCGGAGCGCCGGCAGCGAGCCGCCGGGCGAAGAAGTCCTGCACCCAGGGTCGGAAGCGAGGGGGGAGTCCTAGGTTTAGGGTTTAGGGTCGGAGTCCTAGGTGTGATGGGTGGCGGGTTCCCTTGTTGCTTCAAGAACTTCACAGGGCCTCGGTCTTCGGGGCCGTCGTCAGTCTTGTCGTGGTGTTTGCTCTGAGGGTCTGCTGCTTACAGCCATTTGCAGCTCCGTTCTGTTTCTTTCCGTTTTGCCGAAGGTAAGAGTTCAGCCATGCCGTCCCACTGTGGCTGTGGGGGAACCAATACAACCAAAGTCAAGCACTCGAATTTCGTTAGGCGTTGGTCACTGCATGTCGGGGAGGCCTGGAGGTACATCCTTTTCGGATGTACCTCAAACGAGGCAGGAGATCGAATGTCACTTGCAAGGCGTTGGTCACCGCATTTCGGGGGGACCCGGAGGCAAATCCTTTAAGGATGTACCTGAACCGACCGGACTGGTGTTTTGACTGACCATCTCGTTTGGGCCTGGTGCTGGTGCCTGGGATGTGGAACCCCTGTAGCACTGTTTGTATCTTATCTATCGTATCTTAGTTTATCTTATCTGTCTAGTTATCGAATCTATCTATCTGTCTGTCCATCTAACTATATATCTATCTAGCTAGCTAGCGGAACCCCTGTAGCGCTGTTTGTATCTTATCTATCGTATGTAATTTTACCTTATCTGTCTATGTATCTAATCTATCTATCTATCTATCTATCACACCTGCGATCCAGCAGAGTTGCCTTGCCAGTTAGCCAGTGGGCGACCGTCAGGGCAAGGTAAGGGCATACTACTGCTCATGGGGGTTATTCTCTACTTATATTCAGGAGCCCGAAGGACAGGAATAGTACTAAGAGAAGACCAGGAAAATGAGAATTCTTCGAGGTCATTAAACTGGTCCTTTAAGGGTTCTTGTCCTTTGAGGGTTCCGAGAAGGCGTCCCCTACAAAGGTTCATATTGGGTTGATGGTGTTCCTAACCGTCTTGAACACCGGCTCCTTAGTGTCACAGGCAAACCTGCCGGCCAAACATTATAGGCATTATCGGAATATGTCGGAATCAGCGCTTCCTGTGTACCTGTCTTCATGGTACAGACTGGCAACACGGACCTCCTCATCGACAGGAATTCGCCATACTACTCCAGGTTCACCACTAATCGGTAATCTCGTATCTGACAATGCGCTCGACTCGCTCGTCAGCCGAACAGAGTTATCGACCACCCCAGGATGGCTGCTCGGGCTGTGAGAGCTACAGCAAGGAGACTGTACTGCTTACTATTGGGATACGATGAGGGCTCGAAAAAGGCTACCCCAAGGGCAACCATAATGAGGCCTGCTATAAGGCTTTTGGGGTCACTACAGAGGTAACGATCGATACTGGCAAGAGGACAGGGGGGTGGCGGTGACTCCGGGCAAGGCTCAGTCTTCAAACTCGACGATGTACTCCGGATACACATGTCCCGTCTCCAAGACGATATACTCTCTGGGACCTGAACGCTCTGGATTCGCCAATACGCAGTGCTTGCCCAGCTTTGCAGCTTCGCTCGTTGCATCCGGATGCGACTTCTCCTCGGTGTAGTGCATGTGGCCACAGACTGCCCGGCAAAGTAAAACGTATTTCACGTTGCCACTTGAACTACAATAGCTGAGGCTTTTGCTCAAGTCCTCTGCGAGGTAAACCCCATGGCCGAAGCGACGACCGTGTGTGCCGCTCTTTTTGACCTCAAAGCCTATCTCAGCGATGGCGTCCGCTGCCTGCTGCGAGGTGCCATGCCAGAGAAGTGTCTCGTTCAACCCTGGCGCCATATTCTCTACAGAGATGGCTTCGTCGCCGTGGAACTCTGATAAGATGGTCGCTGTCAGCGCGTGGCCGGACTCCGGATTTCCGTCCAGCTCGTTCGGTGGTGTGCATCTGAGATCTCCGCTGGCCCGGAGCTGCGCACCTAAAGATCGCTTCCAGTCGATGTAACGACACCAAAGGAATGAGTCCTCGATGCGCCTCGCCAGGACCACCTTCGGCGCTGCGCCGTCGCGCCCACATGAACCATTGGCCAAGCGTTGAATGAGCTCACGAATCATTGGCTTCACCATCCAATGCTCTCGGAAGCCCTCCGTGTACGGATTACGGCCGACATTCCTCCAATACAGCGGCAGCTCCAGCAAAAACGGCACATCCTTCGGCGGCAGCTGGGGTGTCTCACCCCGGTGAAGGCGCTCGTAGAGGACCAAGTATTCTGGATACACCTGGTCGCGATCGTAGACGACCATCTCTCGGTAAGTGTTTACGGCTTTCGCGCGGTCGCCGATTGTGCTGTCGCACTCGCCATTGGTGTAATTGTCAATGGCAGACGGCTCACGATCCAAGGTGTAATGGAAGTTGCCCAAGCAGACGCGGCACAAGAGCAAGCCCCTCACGCCGTCGTAGTGACCACCCGGCTCATCCATGGCATACTCGTCGGCCTTGGTGCAGCTCTCCGAGAAGTACAAGCCCTTCCCATACATCGTGCCAGCGCCCGAGCCGGCAAAATTGAGGCTGAAATCATCCTGAGCAATCGCCAGACCGGTTCGAACTTGCGTTCCGTGCCACAGGTAAACCTCGTTGATGCCGTCATCGACATCGCACAGGACTTCAGTCAACCCATTGGAGGCTTCCATGGCGGCACGCGTGAAGATCTCAGGGTCCGGAGCTTCACAAGACGAACGCGACCTTTTGATCTGGTCCCGTCTATCGATGTAGCGAGAGAACATTGCAGAGTCTTCCACGCGGATGACGCGCTTGATCTGGTAGCCTGTAGGCAGGCCAGGATCACCACCAGGCTGCACACAGGGGCATCCACCCTTGGTCTTGTCGTGCTTGCCAGTCGGGCATAGGCGATCTTGCGTCGTTATCTTGCGGTACGTCTGGTTTATCAGATCCTGGAAGAATTCCATGTGCTCGTGCTCAACGTATATAAGCTCGTCGAAACCCAAGTCATCCTTGACGTTGACTTCATCATTTCCGCTCTCCCGGCATCCAGTCCAGTACTTTGGAAGGCTCTTCATCGCCATCTCGTTCAGCGATGACCACGGCCACCGGTCCACCTGCCGGGTCCGGCTGTGTCTTCAAGCCTTGACTGAAACACATCTGCCACACGAACCACAATGATAGCAGCAGGGCTATGACTCCGCCCATGCCCATCAAAATTGGAACAAGCATGGCGTTGTCCTGCCCAGAGGATGCTGTAGGTGTCACTGTGGGAGTAAGTGTCACTGTGGGAGTGGAAGTTTTGCAAACGATCATCGTGTCCGTGCTGGCTTGTCCTACATGGTAGTTTAAGTAAAACATTCCAGTCGCCAACCACTTGTAGCACCCGTTCGGACGATATGGGTATGTCTCCGAGTAGTCGAAGATGAAACCAAAAGCTGCTGCAGCTTCTATGCAGTCGAATTCTGTGAGAACCGGCATTGTGTCTGCAGGACAGAAATTCGAGTCTATCTGAAGCAAAAATGGGGGTCCGGAGGATGTCGTCGTGGTCGTTGTATTAGCGCCCAAGCCCTCCTTGCAAACGACACGCGCATTGCTGTTGCCTCGTCCTTCGTTGCAGTTGACGATAAGTTCGGAAGAGATATTGTGCATATAGCAACCGTGCGGATACGAGGAATCGTTTGCGTCTCTACTCAAATACAATCCAAAAGCTGCGGCGGCTTCTTTGCAGCCGGATATTGTCCAAACCGGCCATGTGTCGCTTGGACAGCTTGTCAAGCCCGCCGTCTGCAGGATGTACCCCTGCCCGGAGTACCCCTGCCCGAAGTAAGTTGTAGTTGTCGAGGTTGTTGCATTACCAGATAGCTCGCAAACGACCTGGGATTGGTCGTTGCTTTGTCCTTCATTGAAGTTGAAGTAAAAGTCCCCCGTCGAGTACAGATAACAACCGTTCGGATGGTAAGGCGAGTCTTCAGTGGAGACGGTCCGCGAGAAACCAAGAGCCGCTGCGGCTTCTAAGCAACCGAATTCTGTCAGAACCGGCCTTGTGTCTGCGGGACAGATTGTCAAGCCAGAAGTGTGAAGGATGTACCCCTGCGTAGTGGTCGAGGTTGTTGCATTACCAGATAGCTCGCAAACGACCTGGGATTGGTCGTTGCTTTGTCCTTCATTGAAGTTGAAGTAAAAGTCCCCCGTCGAGTACAGATAACAACCGTTCGGATGGTAAGGCGAGTCTTCAGTGGAGACGGTCCGCGAGAAACCAAGAGCCGCTGCGGCTTCTAAGCAACCGAATTCTGTCAGAACCGGCCCTGTGTCTGCGGGACAGATTGTCAAGCCAAAAGTGTGAAGGATGAACTGCGAGTAGAAAAGTGTCGTGGCCGTTGCACCGACCTGGCAAACAATCTTCGACTTGCTTTCGCCGCGCCCGGTATTATAGTTGAAGTAAACAGCGAAATTGTCCCATTGATAGCAACCGTTCGGATAACCAGGTTCGTCTTCAGTGCCCATGTAGCTGACACCAAGAGCTTCTGCGGCTTCTCTGCAGTCAGATTCTGAGAGAACTGCCAGTGTGTCTGCAGGACAGACCGTCAAGCCCTCTGGGCGGAAGATGTACTCCGCTGAGGTTGTCGTCATTTCGGCCAGGAGCAGAAAGGCAATTGCTGGCGTCGCCAGGGAAAAGCCCTGACTGCGCAAAGCGTGGCGCTGCGAGTGACGCATTGCTTCGTTTGGCTTTAAACTTCCTACGCAATGAAATCTGAGCACGAGAACTCGGCAAAAGGAACTCGACACATCACAACCGTAAAGGGTTGGGAGCTTGGGGCTCGGCTCACGTTGCAACCCCGACCATATATCCGCCAGCCTGAAGACTTGGAGTGGGGCTTCGTTGAGGTGCTTGGTACGAAGAAACATGGTGCAGGAACCTTTCCCATGAGGAAAGGGGTCGCACACCCCCGGCCTTCACAAGAAAGCACCCTAATCCCTGAACATCTCTGAACCCAAAGCCTGAACTCTGACCCCAAGCCCCACCGCCGGGTTGGCGCCCGCACGCAGGGCTTTGGCAGCACCTTCTAAAGACGGACACGGAGGGTTTCAGGGCTTACTAGGGAAAGCTTGGCATCTCAGGGTGTAGGGGCTTAAGGTTTAGTTAAAGCGTTGAGTTTAGGATTGAAGGTTTGGGGCCGATGTGGGGCTTTGGACCTCAAGGCTTCGGGCTGTTCCCACATCAAACCCTGTGAAGATAGAACAAGGCAAAACTGATGGCTTGGGGGTGTGCTCTAGAAGATGCAGGGATTCCCACAACCCTGAGCCCCCAAAGCCCAAAGCATTGAATCTTTGAGATGGAACTACTGAGTTTCCCAACCTCCAGGACCACGAATCATCATCGAGGCATTTGGGCATGTCGTGGCATCTTTACACTTGCAATGACTACGACTCTCCGTCACTACTCCGATTCCCCCTCCTAAGCCGGCTGCGGCTCCTCCTGCTCCTGGTCCTGCTCCCGCTCGTACTCCCGCCACCACCACGACTAAAGAGTACTACCAGATACTACCAGGACGAAGTACCACAACCACCACCACCACCACAACCACCACCGCCACCACCCCCACCACCACGACCACCACCACCACGACTCTTGCCAGCACTACTCCTACTCCGTCTCCTACTACCACTACTCTTACTACCACCACTACTGCTACTCTACTACTGAACATGTGCAAGCACTCAGTCTTTTTCCGATGCGTGAGTGCTGATATGTGGAGTGATGCGTCGCTGAGCTATTTCAGATGCACAGCAGCCACCGTCTAAGACGATGGGTTAAATCGCACATCTTGGTCAAAGATCAGATATGTGCAGCGGCATTCGATCACCCGATCAGATAGCCCAAAACGAACCCCAACAAAGACCCTACCCCCATCAAGCCGCAGAGGCAATCAGGGAGGAGAGGGTGGGGAAGAAAAGGAGCACATCATGCTAACTCTCGAACCATATGCTGCTGAGGTTAGAGCATGAGTGGTTTCCATGTTCAATACTCAGGCAGGCCCTACCCAACCAGCCATGCAGCCTGATGTAACAGAACNNACATGTGCAAGCACTCAGTCTTTTTCCGATGCGTGAGTGCTGATATGTGGAGTGATGCGTCGCTGAGCTATTTCAGATGCACAGCAGCCACCGTCTAAGACGATGGGTTAAATCGCACATCCTGGTCAAAGATCAGATATGTGCAGCGGCATTCGATCACCCAATGTTTCAAGAAGTGTCAACGCGTCAATCACCCACTGTTTCAGCATTCAAGCGAGAGGACATCGAGGCCAAAACATCAGCAGGATTGGCAAAGAGAGCTGGCAGGACAAACTCCTCTGCAGCCCAGCCCTGGGATGCAATGAAATCACACTGAAGCCCTACGCGGGATAAGCCGTCGGATGGATTAGAATCGGAATCCACCCACTCAAACCAACATCGGAAGGAGAGCTTAGTCCTCAGAGTAGCGGCCGCATAGGCGATAGCGTGAACATCAGTCTCACGACAACCCCCCTTGATAGCAGCAGCGAGCGCAGCTTGGTTATCAACAAACCAAATCGCGTCTTCCTGGTACAGAAGCTGCGGGTGGAGAGCCGGCACCACCAGGACACACAAGGCTTCTCCAGGGAAGATCTGCTGAGTCCGCGGCTTCCAGGCATCAAGAACGCTTGGGGGGACAACCGTGGTTCCACCCGCCAAGCAAACCCGATCACGAAGGATAATCCATCCAAGTCGGAGTTCATCGTTCTCAAATGAAGCATCGGTATAGATGCAAAGGGGACTTGGCGGGCTACCAAGCACAGCAATCTTGCGCGGACCAGCGGCCATCACGAGGTCTTTCAATGATGACAACACATGGCGAGCCTCGTCATCAAGGGCCGAGTCCTCACCATGTTGATACCGCGTCAAGAGGGGACCGGCGTGCTTACCAGCAAAGCCCGAACAAGCGGAGAAGAGCCACATAAGATCACCACGAAGTTTTCCGGCAACATCACGAGGAAGATGGCCGGACGTAAGCATCACATCCAGTTTCGCGAGCACCTTCTGCACGGTCAAGAACTTAGGTTGAACAAGAATCTCGCGGCGGGCAAACACATCCCCAACATGGACCGAGGCCCCCAAATAATGACGATCAGCAGCTGGAGGGAAGCTCTTCATCGGTTGAGGCGGAGCGCCCAGTAGTTTAAACACCAGTTTCAACCCTGTTTGGGACACGCAGGAGCCCTGGACAAACTCAACCGAGAGCTCATCGTCAAAGTAGGCCGCCGCCATGGAGCTGGTGCACCTTCGTGCAACCGAAACCCCAAAGGTGGAAAAACGGTTGAAGGCCACCACAGCAGCCTCCAAGCCATAGGCGAGGCCCCAGAGGATGACAAACCTCCAGCCCACATTCGGCACAAAGATGGCAACGACGGAGAACTTGAGATGGTTCTGAAGTACAGGGTGTCCCCTGTAAGCGTCCGGCAGGTCATCTGTGCCGACACGAACATCAAGCCAGTCATCAACCTGAGCAGGCAACATGTCGCCATCGTCCGAAATTAAGTTGACAACATCACGAATGGCACACGCTATGAAGTCGACCGAAACAGTGAAGATCGTCTCCAACATTGTGTCCTGTGCGCTTGGCGTTGTCAATCACTCTCTGTTTACCGTCAGGCTGGACAATGAGGAAGCGTTCAAGAGGTCGCCAGCCTCCGCGACCGAAGCGCTTGTCAACATCGGCCCGCGTAAGCGGCTGGGAGCAGAAGCCCTTGTCAATCTCCTGCTGAGTCACAGTCCAAATCTCACTAACAAACCGAGGCGGGCCCTTGGACATGATCTCGTCAACCCGTCGTGCAGCATCATCCCCAAGCCAAGCGTGGACGTCCTCCACATCCTTGGGAAGGATCTCGCGAAAGATACCTGTGCGAGGGATCTCGCCCACAATGGGAAAACCCTGAATGAAGGAAATGGCCTGGGTGCGGTCGGGCCATCGTAGAAGAGCAGTCATACACGCCACAAACGCGGCATCCTTAGCAGAAGCAACTCTCTGTGCGCTGTCACATTGTGCTCCACACAGCCATTGCCGAAGTGGAGTAAGTGCGCGGGAGATACACCTAAGACAATGGCGTTGACGATCAGCGAGAAGAGGTAAGCAATCCTGCCAAACAGCAACCGTGTGAGCCACAAAGAAAACATCATCGTCGGGCCACCGCTTAGCGCAGAAGGGAGATGGAAGTTGGGCCGAAGCCACAACATGACCATGCTTGCCCAAACCTGGTGGAAGAAGAAAATCTAACCCGCGAGACTCCTCGGATGAGTATCGCTGGCCCGAGTTGGATGCAAAGATCTGTGTCCTGTCCCTGGCCAGAATAGGTCGCGGAGGACAAAGATGCCAATCTTTCCCACGACTACGCTGAAAACAGGAGAAAGCTTGGGGCAGCACAACGTCGCAATGCGAAAGAGAGTTGCGGCACTCCTGCCAAACACAATGTGGCACGGACAATGGCTCGAACTGCAACTCCATGTCATGGATCACGTCATCGACTGAGAGCAAGCCTGGAGCGTTGTAGACCCAGTCGCCCCCCCAGACCGTGTTGACAGTGCGAGCCCTTAAAGCTTCCTGTTGCGGATCCAGCAGAAAGGAGATCTTAGCATCACACAGCTGGGCCAACACAGACAGCAACACAAGAATTGAAGGCAAGTGGAACCCGTTCCCCAAGAGGCTGTTGCGAGCACGACATCTTTCATCCTGGTCCCCAGCAACGGCTGCGGTCGCCGCCGGAGGAACCCCAAGCATCTGGGATCGCTCAGATGGAGACAACTGCCTCCATTCATCACCTCGCCAAACCAAGGAAGACTCACGATAAGCTGCCGGTGGGAACCTTTGGGAATCTTGCCGAAAACGCTGCACAGCCTGCGCCGGGACACCTCGGGTACCATCATCAGGGTGAAAGAACTCCCGTGTGAATGTGAAGACTGGCTCGGCCTCCCCCTTCATGACCATTGCAGGATCCTGGAGGAGCTGAAAGCCGCCTTCGAAATGCACCCGACTTGGTATGGGCTTCTGACCTTTGTACTTGAGTTGAGCCCGGCCACGATCATCCGAGTCCCAGGTCCAGTCTTGAGGGGCCTGGCAGGTTGACGGACTCAACGAACGGGTGCAACCACTCAGCCAGTAGATGCGATGCCTAGCCGTCCAGCCGCAATCGGAAGCCTGAATCACAACCGGCTGCGCACCCATCCAATCGGAGTATTGAGCACAGGCATCAGCATCCATAGACGCGACATTCTCAAGCAGGACAAGAATCTCGAGGTGCCCACACTCAGGATGACTTCGAAGAGCAGCAGCAAGATCACGAACTCGTTCAGGAGCCCTGGCACGCGGGTCATCCATGCCACGTCTCCGCCGATTAAGGACACTATGTGGCTGAGTGCCGGCCCCGATCAAGATGCCTCGAGGTCGGCGCCGCCGAAGAAATGGAAGAAGCGCGTCAATCTCTACATCCGCCACATCCTGGACATGGACTATGCTGGGCATGACGGCCGCTGCTGCCTTGCGGGCGCCCTCATCTGTCTCAGCGGCTAATGCCCAAAAGTGAAGGCCTGCTGAAAGGGCAGCAATGCAAAGACCGGAGTAGCCTGCGAACAGATCCAGAACAAGCCACCGGCCCGGCGGGCCTTTCGCCCAAGGGACCTGGAGAAGATCTCCAGCTCCACGCCATACCACCGGCCTTGCCGCAACTAGAACCTCCGAGAGGCTACGACGATCTCGCTGATCCAGTGCATCAAGCATCACAACATCCGAGGTCCCGTCAAGCTGGACAGTACGGGACCCGGTGTGCTCCCCCACGCAGTCGGAGAGCTGAACCATGCGACAATGGCCAAGCGCAATGATTGGAAATGCAAGGTCAGTCAACTGTTGCCGAACTGCTGGCTCAGCACGACGAAAGGCCTCGGGAACATACGCCACGAGGACCCACCGCTCACCTTGGAAAGGGTCCAGGCTACTGCCATGCAACTGTTGAGGCTGAAACGTACACGGCTTCATGCGGATGTCCACCTGGCGGCCCAAGTGGAGGTGGCCACCTGAATCACGATACTCGACTGTGCCCGAAGGGTCTTGAAGCCACAGTCGACCGCCTTGATGAGGGCCCAAAGCGATGCATTTGTTCGGGATGGCCGGGTCGTTTGACAAGTCAGAGTGCACCTGTGTGAGCAAGTTAAAGCTGACAGCGATACTGCACCAAGCGTCCCGAGGGAAAAACTGCCTGAGCCACGCGTTGATGTACTTGCACACACCCGGGAAGTGTTTGGTGCCATCTGTAAGCCCGATGCCGGTCCGAGACGCAAAGAAGCCCAAAATGTGGTAGTTGACGAATCCAGCTCGACCTAGCACAGCAATCCGACGGTTAGATGTGGGCTTGGCAAAGCATCCGCGCAACACCTGGAGGCATGCCTGTTCAGAGAAGTCCCCCTGCGCAAGAAGGTCGAAAGCCACACGATCCACATCCTCCAGCTCGGGAGTGTCAGGTGAATCTTGCGGAACATCGAGCGAAGTAGGATTGCTAGGCACAGCCTCCGAAGTCATAGGTCGAGGAGGCTCCCCAGGAGGCGCAAGGGAGCCCTCCTCCCGTCAATCAAATTTGTGCTGCGAACGCTTGTGCTTCTGGCCACAAGCAGCACCTGACTCGAGGCGAACGTCACAAAGATGAGCATTCCCACAGTTGCCCGAGCAGCCCCTGTCATCGTTCCACGATTTGCATAATTTCTTTCCACCCTTCAGCATACTCACTGTGCGCACCAAGGGTCGGGCAGCCTTGAGTGGGGGCTCTGGGACGCCGTCGGGGCGGCGTTTGGTGGTCGTTGAAGCTTCGCCCTGGGGGTCAATCAGTGTGGGGGAGCGCCAATCGAGGTAAGACTCTCTCCGAGCTTCTTTGAGGGCCTGGCCGGCACTCCATCCCCGCCTCACCAGGGACGCCATGCGCCCCCGTGTGCGCGTGTCAACGCGCTCCAGCCAGCTCAAACTTCCTGCACCGTAAGTCATGGCTTCGCGGAGTGCAATGTCGGCATAAGAGAGGGCCTCAGTGAGGGTCATCATCTTACGAGAGACACCGTCATGATCAACCATCATCCAGTTGCCACAAAATGCCCAGCAGTAGCACAAAGTACGCAAACGCCAGTAGTACTGAACAACGTCCTTGATCGGAGAGATCTGCTCGCGCTTCAACTGCAACGCCAAGCTGTCCGAAAGAACTGCCACCTCCGTAGTAGATGGAACACAAGCCGAGACCACCGTCTTGATTTTACGCATTTCAAGAACTGTCATAGACTTGCGCTTGAACTCACGAAAGACTCTGCCTCGAAGAGTGTCCGCCGGTTCAAGTTGAGGATCCATGTCCAAATCATAACTCTTCTTCCAATCAGCCATGAGCTGTGACATCTGAACCTCGCCCAAAGGCTCATCCAAGTCTTTATCGGCATCAATCTTGCTGGCAACATCCCGAGCATTCTTAATGGCAGCTGCACCCGCCTCGTAAGCCGCCTTGAACCTTGAAAGAGCCAGGCGGTTATCCTTCAGGGCAGGGATGCTTTGAAGATGCGTCTCAATTTCATTCTCCCAGGAGGACTTGTTGAAGAGGTAAATGTAGTCCTCCAGGGTCTCGATCTTCAAGGACTTGCAAAACTCCTGAATCCAGGATGGCTCCACGCGAGCGCGCTTAAAGCATGCATGGAGCCCTTGGTCGTCCTCAGCCATGAAGTGATCTGCACTGCGAAACCTAATGAGCCCGTGTCTGCAGGTGGGCAGTCAAATACAAGCCACACCGAGAGAACACTGAGACCACGACTGCAACCTACACGCATCACGACCTGAGGCAGGAGCACCGGCTCGGGGTGCACAAGGAGTTTTCACCAAAACCGTCGAGGCTCAAAACGACACTCAGATCCTGTCTATGCCTCGCTCTCAACTACGCCCCTCACTCATCAGCTCCCCACCCTGCCCGATGACAAGGACGGCAGTAATGACGAGCATGACCGTGGCGAGCACCGGGCCGATCACGCCTCACGCCGTCCGCACAACCTTGTACATGACGGGTTGCCACAGCGCATGGTGCAGACAACAGTGTCCGGCGGGGGTCCCGGAGGGGCTTGCGTAGGTCCTGTACTCGCTCCCGGACTCGCTCCTGTGCTCGGCTGTGACGAGGAACCGCGGTGCGCCTGCTCAGCCGACACCGCCGCCAAGATCATCTGGAGCTGCTGATCTGAGAGCGTGGCCGCCCATGATGCAAGCTGGACGGGATTGAACATGACCCCTAAAATCACAGCTCCCTACGCGGCTCAAAAGGACCTAGGAGAACCTTGAATCAGCAAAGGCAAAAGCTTTCAAGAGCATGCTGCTGCAAAGAGACAGACATGCACGTGAAGGGCACCGGAATGTTTTCATCACACTTCCAGGATGCACCTCCGCAGCGCTTCTGGCATGCGGGCAAGGCACTTATGACAAAAAGGCGAGCCCTTCTGAGAGACGCCCACCCCCTTCGCCACCGGATCTTGATTGAAAGCTTCTTCTCGGCACCAGGGGACCAGCCGCCCATCCACCACTTCCCGAACAACATGGCGACGAGCACGCTGGCTGAACCACTCAATCTCCTCGGCATCACCATCGTTGACCACCTGATTCGCGGAGCAGCAAGAAGATGCCACCGAATTATCGGACGAAGACTCATCCGAGGAACTACCAGACGATCCTCCCTCGGGCGACTTGAGGGGCCCGGGGTTGTCACCTGTCAGGGCCGATGGCGAAGAAGAGGATGGCTGGATGTGCTCCCACATGATGCACCCCGGCTTGAGAAGCTTATCCGTCATGACCAACTGGATCCTCTTAGCCTGTACTGTCTGAAAGACCGCCCGCAGGATTCGCAGCTTGATCGCAGCACTAGATGACACCTTCTCACCGGCATAATGGTCCGACATGAGCTTCTTCGGTCGCTGCGCTGCACTGCCTGATGACAAAGCCCCCTCAGGCAGCTCCACCCATGACCCCACAGCCTGGGCCTCGTGTGGTGTCAAAGCACACACCTTGGCACCTGTGGGCAAGAAACGTCGCAGCCGATTGTAGCCTGCACGGGACGCCTTCTCAAAAGGCAGCCCCGCCCGAATGAGCAGTCCACGGAACAGCTCCAAGAACCGAGTTCGGCTCATCTTGCGATCAATTCGGAAAGCAGTAAGATCATGGATCTGCCACAAATCTTCACACTGAAGCGCAAGAGCAGGAAGGAGAAAGCCAGCCGAGCTCGGCATAGAGCTCGTGAAGAAGTCCCGAAGGACCGCGGTCACATCAAGATCACCCCACACGACTCTGGGCATAGCCCAACTGTACGGCTGCCGACTCCCCTGCCTTCTACTCTTACCCTTCCTGCAATGAAACTCAAGAAAGTCAGGAGAGGCCCTCACAAAAGAAGACCTCTGCAAATGAACAAAACGAATGCAAGATACAGCACTCATGATCACCAGGCACGCCAAGATTCTCGGGGACCCATGGAGGTCCCGGGCAAGCTCGAGGATGTTCAACAACTCCCAGGGCTGGAGTTCTTCAGCCTGACGGCTAACATGACCCGGTGAGTGAAGCCTGAAGGGCCGGATCAAGACGTGCTCCGTAGGCAAGCAAGCGCCCATATTCAGAACAATCCAGCGCAGGGCTTGGTACACACTGCAGGCTGCCGTCGGCCCCCCTTCTGAAACACCCTGCAGGAAAGAAGCCAGGTGGGCAGGAGCAGGGTTGAAGGCCGGAATCCCCTGCGTTGTGGCATATTGCAGCCACCGCCGAAGGCATCTATGAAGTGTATTCAACCGAGACAGGGACAAATGCTCTGTCGCCTTCATAATCATAGCTCTCGCAGGGTCTGCTTGCTTGGAATCATCCCAATTGACATGATCAAGCCCCAGCTGACGAAGATCAAGCACCGATGTGCGCAAAGTCAAGAAGAACTCTGCGACCTTCTGACTTCGTACCGCATCCACCGGTTTAGCAGCCGCTTTGGGACTCGTCATTGTTGGTACACTCGTAACCGACCCTGGAGGCAGTGTACCCACAAAAGGCGTGGGGCTTTAGCTGGACGACCACTAGAGGAAGCACTCGATGTTGCGGCTGCCCTTGTTGTGAACATAGACTGACGATCCAAACTGATCTCGCCCGCGCGTAAACCCTGTTCGCGCTGGCTAGCTTGACGACAACGTCTATAAAACAGCTCACAAGCGCAAGTCTCATCATCATCCTTAGGCGCCAGATCGGCAAGGGCCTCATCCAATGAACGCCAAAAGAAAGCGACGTCAACAACATCAGCCAGCCCCAAACGTGCAACCACAGCAGATGGTTCAGAGGGCAGCAGAGAGACAAGATGGCTCCAATCCATGATCGGCAAATGGAGAGGAAGAAAAGGAGCACATCATGCTAACTCTCGAACCATATGCTGCTGAGGTTAGAGCATGAGTGGTTTCCATGTTCAATACTCAGGCCAGCCATGCAGCCTGATGTAACAACAACAACTACTACTACTACTACTACTACTACTACTCACACTCCGACCTGCTGCTGCCCAGTTGCCTTGGCAGCGGCTCAGAAGATGCCGCCACTTTTCCGGACTCTTCACTCCACGTGCCACGTTGACGCCATTTATGGACACCGCCCTGGCAATTCGAGCTTTGGAGCTTAGGTCTAGCACTTGATGCTAGGGGCCTTGAGGGTCTTCACGATTGCATGTTCCTTGCTCCAGCTGCGGTCATCTGCCGACATCTAGATTTGAGTGAACCGTCTGCGCCCGGGGGATTGAGAGTCGGGGCCAGAGCAATGATTGTTCAAGCTTTCTGGCTTCGGAGTTGCTGCATGCAATGTCCGTGGCACAACGTTCGGCTCTCCCATCGACAATCGTGGTTCAAAGATCGAAACCACCTCCTCCAACAATGGAAACCCACAGAATCCACCCTCCCCCTGCTGTTCTGCTTCATGCGTGTCTGCATCCCTCTGTATCAGCATGCGCATGTGTGCGTGTGAGTGTGAGTGTGTGTGAGTGAGTGCGAGTGTGAGTGTGAGTGTGAGTGAGTTTGAGTGCGAGTGTGAGTGTGAGTGCGAGTGCGAGTGTGAGTGTGAGTCTGAGTGACTGTGGATATGAGTGTGAGTGTGTGTGTGTGTAACATGTGCATACGTATGTACGTATGTACCTAGGCAGGCAGGTCGGTAGGTAGGCACGTATGTATGTAGGTACGTATGTACGTCGGTATGTAGATGACAGACAGATACATAGATAGTTCGATTGATTGAGTGTGTGATTGGTTGATGTATAGATAGGTAGATAGCTAGCTCGCTCGCGGGCTGGCTGGGTGGCTAGCTGGCCAGCCGGCTAGCTAAATACATAGGAGATGGAGAGAGGGAGAGCTCGACAGAGAGAGATAGAGAGAGATAGCGAGCTAGCTAGCTCGCTGGCTGGCTGGCTGGATGGATGCATGGATGGAAGGAAAGGGCGAGGGAAATAGAGAGAGAGAGAGACAGAGAGAGAGAGAGAGAGAGAGAGAGAGAGAAAGAGAAAGAGAGCGAGCAAGACACCTGAGTATCATATGTACATCTGTACATACCCTGAACCGCAAACCCTTGGTCATATGCAAGTCTAAACTAGCCAAAATTCAAAGCCGAGCATGATCTGAAACCTGCACTACTATAACAGTAGTGATGATCATGACAGGTATCAGATAAGAAAAGACTAAACCGTCCCAAGCCCTGTACCTGAAAACCTGAACCCTAAATCTGCCGCAGCCGGACCTGGCGGCAGGGTCTTCGAGGAAGAAGACGGCCGGGTCATCCGGGCGCCCGGTGAGCGGCCGACAGTCCGGCATCAGGCGGATGCCCATGGGCCCTTCCATGTGGTTTTGCATACATATCTACGCACCTATCGATGTATTTGCTTGTCTTGTGTGCTTGTTCGTACTTCTGCTTACATCTGCCCATAGGTACATTGAATTGACTCGTACTTGTGGACCTATGCTTGAACTACTTATCTATACGTTTGTTTGGGGCGACATTTCTGCAGATGAAGTTAAAGGGTCCAAGTGTAGGGCGTGTGCTCAGGTGCCACGGTTTCAGGAAGGCTTATACCCTAAACCCTAAACCCTAAACCCAAAACTCAAAACTAAACCCTAAACCCTAAACCAGAAACCCCAAACACTGAACCCTAAACCCCAAACCCAAAACCCTAAACCCGTATGGCTCTGGGCTCTATCCCATCTACTGCTGCCCGGACAGGCTCCAGGCGCCTCTTTGTCCTCTCTCTGACAGGCCCAACCCGCAAAACCCTAGGGATCCCTCACAGTAGATAACAACAACAATACTACAAGTAATAGTACTAATGACTTTTATAACAATAATTCCCCAAATCATATTTTGTAGATCCCCTTACCGGAAACCCCTCTTCATGGTCAGGGGCTGGGAAGCTCCAGCCAACTCCCAAGTCCAAAGCCCGCAAAGTACATCAAAACTTCAGATCCAGGGTCTAACGCAGGGCCTCGGACTTCGGACTCAAGATGTAGGGGTGTAGGGCTCAGGACCGGGGATGTTGGGCGTGGTTTAGGCTTAGCCGGGGCTTGAGGATACCGGGAGGGTTGACTTCCACATGTACCATACCATACTACTACTGCTACTACTACTACTACTACTACAATATACCATGAAAAAACTACAGTATACTATAGCATACATCAAATACTATAATAAACTACAACATGCTGCTATGATGTACTATGATATACTATAGTATGCATGATATGCGACAATAAACTATAATATGCTATACTTTATAATATACTATAATATACCATAAAAATACTGCCACACGCCCAACATCTCAATGCACAGTGACTCCGAGCCTCTGCGGTCTTTCTCCCGCGACTCCAGGAATTTCTGGAAGCCGGCCACCTTCAGTTTGACCAGGCAGCTTCGGGCTTGGTGTTTAGGGGCTTAGGGTGTAGGGCTTCGAGTTTATTTAGAGTTCAGGGTTTAGAGTTTATTTAGAGTTCAGGGTTTAGGGTTTATAGGGTTTAGGGTTTAGCGTTCAGGGCTTAGGGCTTATAGGGTTTAGGGTTTAGGGTGAGTTCCATGAGAGGTCCGAGCGCCCTCTTTGCAGGACAGAGCAAGACTCGGTGAGGTCTCTGAGCTTGCCCTACGTTCAGGCTCATCAATCGCTACCGCAGCCGCACCACCTGGCACTGCCATAGAGGATGTTGGCAGTTGTCAGTATATTCTATACTGTATGTTGTATACAGTATATTGTTGTCCATTCTATAAGTAAAAACATATAGTCTTTGCTATATGATCGGCAATATAATATACGTTTATTTCGGCTCAGGGATCCGAAAGCTCCCTAGAAAAAAACAATCCAACAATAACAAGACAACGGCCCTGAGGAAAACACCTATACAGTAGAAGGACCCTCATTCGTACATCCTCGCAGGACCCTTACACCAGCTCCAAAACCCTGACAACAAACCCTGAACTGCAGGCCCTAAACCTCGAACCGCGAACTAAACTTTTCGGATCCTTGCGGTCTGAACTTCTTTCGACCCAGGGGCCATGTCGAAAAACTCCGCGAGCTCTTCGTGCGACACGCAGGACTCGCAAAGCTGCGCCGAAGGCGGGGAAGGCACGTCCCAACCAGACGCCGTGAGCGCATTCTGTTGTAGCCGGTCCGTGACCACCTACTACAGAAACTGTTTGATTCGTGTTTACAGTTGTTCGTCTTAGAGTCTTAGAGGCTCTTTTCCGACTGCAGGAGAATTGCAGTTGTGGTGTCCAGGGTTCAGGGCTCGATGGGGTTTAAGGTTCAGCCTAAACCCGAGCGTTGCTGTCCTTCTCGGGTTCCGGGGCTCTTTGGCCTGACTACCACGGGGGTACCCAAGGATCTTGCACTACAACATGAGAGGATCATGACATGACTGTCGTAACCCATCAATGTGACTTGGGCCCATAAAAAGCTAAACCTCACATACACTTCGTTTCCAAGGCGCCAGGAAGTACAGGCAAAGCAGAGTCCATGCCAGGGGCGACAGGTGACCCTCGAAGGACTTGTTGAGTCCCTGAACGGGGCACTGTCGGGGCGTCTGAGTTCTTAGGTCTAGGAGTTTAGGGGTTGGGATTTATAGAGTTTAGGGTACTTCGCACGCCGTGATGGTCGCTTTAGTCTCTTTCTTCACCACCATAACTGGACTGCCATGTTCTGAAAGATCACATGACTATCTGACACGACGGCCGCCGACGTTTGCGCTGCGCCGACCACCACCAAGTGCTAAGGCTACGTTGGCTGCTATACCAGACAACACTGTACTATACTATACCATACTACACTATATTATATTATACTATAGCGACGGCATCTTCGCTGTTCCCTTCCTTCTGCTATCACCATTACTATGGCCCTCGCTTCCTGGAGCTTGGAACATGACCTTGCTTGTTGACCCTATGATTGGTGCTGGTCTTTCGGCCAGTAGTTAATACCCCCTCCTATGAACGGTGATGTCCTATGCCTCAAACACCCTATTCTGATTCTTGGGGGCCCCATAATAGTTGTGAACACTAAGCCTTACTCTTCATACAGAATTGCGTTGTTGCTAGTCGTCCTCGATCTTGGCCCAGCGCTTCACCAGAAGGACCAGGCAAGCCGCCTGCCAACAAGGAACAAATGCACAGTTACCGGTTTAGGGGCTTGGGGATTAGGTTTAGGGTTTAGGGTGGGGCTTCAGGGTTAGAAAAGGTGGTTTAGCGTTTAGGGTGTGAGGCCAAGCTTCGCCTATCGAGGAGGTAAGCATGGAACTGCCATATCCTTGCCTTATATTCTAGTTCGTAACGCTTTGCCGACCATCCCTCACTACCAACCTCCAACCCGAAGTCTCTGTGGTCGCTCCGAGATACGCAGTTTGGGGCTGAGTTGGCATTATTGTTCTTTGCTTCCTTCTTCCGAACCTCCGCCTCTCCTCCCGAACACCACAGACAAACATAATATGGGGGGCCGGGGTCGAAATCATGTGCAATAGTATCCCCTCGTAGTCGCTGATACAATATAATATACCCCAACCCTTGTTCTAACTATGAAGGGCCTCTATTGAACTAGCAAACCTTGAGCCCTAAACTTCCAAAACCACACCCCTGAACCCTAAACTTACACTATAAACCCTATAATTCCCTAAACCCTAAACCCCTAAACCCTATACACCCTAAGCCCTAAACCCTATACCCCATAAGCCCTAAACCCTACAACTACAAGGGTCGGCCTTGGGCGATCTGGAGAGCGCCCCCTGGATGAGCCGATCCACGTGGCCCTTGCGCACCCCAGAGGAGTCCAGATCGCCCATGCTGACATCCACCTCTCCAGGGTTTAGGGCCTTAGGGCTTTAGGGCTTAGGGGCCTCAGGGCTTCAGGGCTTCAGGACTTAGGGCTTTAGGGCTTGGGGCTGTAGGGCTTGGAGGGTATAGGGGTTTGGGGTTTATAGGGGTTAGGGCCGGGCCTTTTGAGGAAACCGGGACAGTGCAAGAAGAAGACTCGTAAGAACCCCTGATTTCTAATGTTTGATAACTGTTTTGAACCGTGGTCTGTGTATTGAACCGCTGCGGGGCAAGTACTCATACCTATAAGTATATTGAAAGGAACCCCCCGAAATAGTTTTAAAGAATTCACCGAGGCCACAGACCTCTGGCGTCTTGAAGGTTATAAACTAAGTGCGTTTTCTGGTCACATTTTCGACCCCCCGCCCCGGCTTTCCCCTCCTTGACCTGTCCTTGCCCTTCGTTCCAGTCCATTTTGGCCGATTCCAAACAGTTTTCCTCCCTTTCCCCCCATTCTGGCCTGCCCCCTCCCCGACCCCCTCCTCCCCTCCCGCCAGACCCCCCGCGCCGCTTTCCGGGAAGGGCTGCTGCACTGTCGAGCCGAGGCGGGCTGCGTGGCGTTCAAGAGCCATACCTGGACCCCAAGAGTATGTAGAATAATAGCCTTTTAGAGGTTTTGGGCCATTATTTTACCTACTTTTGAGGGTTTGATAATCGTCTCAGCTTTTCAGCAGCTCGCAAGGGAGCTTGGGAGCGAATTAGGGCCAACGGCTGGGGTTTGCAGCCTAATGTCGGGGCCTTATTGATTAGAAGTGGGTTTTGGGGGACCCATTATACTGTAATTATAATAAGGACATTATTTCGACCCCTGCATTAAATTAGATGTTCCGACATTTTGGGGTTTAGGGTGACGTCCACAGCCAAACAGAAGGAAGCGACGCCGAGCTGAAGCATCCTGACACCCCCTCCGACCCAGTAGCCCCTGGCAGAGTCCAGGATTCCCCCCCCCCCCCAGAAGCTCCCGAAGTCGGGAGCGCCTGAATGGGCGGGAAGTGGTCGCCGGATGGTGTAGCTGCCGGAAGGAAGTCCAGGATCCTTAGGAAATCACGGAGTGACTTTCTCACAGGGGTGGTAGCTGCTGAGGGTTGGAGCTCCGAGTACAGGCCGTCAAGGCGGCCGGGAGTTGAGAAGCCAAAGGGTCTCAGGGCTTGGCGAGTTTGGCTTGAGATGGGCGCAGTTCGGCGTCAAAGGATGTGTAGGGTGCAGTAACGCTCAGCAAGCAGAATTCAGAGTTCAGGGGGGTTTCACGGCTGACGGCCTTTAGGTGCACATGGCATATATAGCTTTGTGAAGTATACAGAGTATGTAAATATAGTATAGCACAGGGTTTAGGGCCTTCGTGCACCTAAACCCCAAACCCTGAATCCTGAAACCCAAACCCTAAACCGTGGTAGCCGGAGCTCAAGATCGGCACTCGCACGTGCCAGTCCAGGCGAGTCTCCTCTGGACTTCGCAAAGGGAATCAGTAGAATCAGTAGAATAGGGCTGCTTTAACGCGTTCCCTTAACGGGATGTCTAAGCTATTGACTAAACGGTTTTAGTCTATTGGGTTTGTCCTTCATAAGCCTTATAATATCAAAATCCAAACCCCGAACCAATGTAAGAATCGCACCCAAGCTTTGAGGGATGCGCTCAAAGAAGATTGCAAGGTTCAGGGTTCGGGGTTTGAGCATCAGTGTCTGCCGTACTCAGCCGATGGGCGCAACCACAGATCATGGAGCGAAGGAGGGAGGAAGACATACCAGACCTCACGCAACAAAAAACACCTAAAGCTTCCAAACACAGGAAGCGAAACTCTACAACAAACATGAACCCCCTACGAAACCCGAGACCCTAGTTGAATCTCAAAGCATACGGGTCGAAGCTGCCCGCTCGCTCCAAAAAGCAGCCTCAGGATCAGTCCTTCACCTGGAAACTCGCCGGCAGTCCCTGCATCAGTCTTTGCAGGTGCGACACCTGTACCTGCAAGCTTAAGGTTTAGGGTTTAGGGCTGCAGGGTTTCGGGTTTTAGGGCTTATAGAGCTTAGGATTTAGGGTTTTAGGCTTTGGCCTTGTAGGACTCATAGGCTTATAAGCCTTACAGGGTTTGCAGGCTTTGGGGCTCAGGGGATCCTTCGGAATGGCAATTGTTCCGACCCCTGTTGTAGGCAGGTTCCCGGCAGGTTCTTCGAGCTTTAAAGTCTTGGCGGACCCTGCAGCTCCCCTGACTCTCAACCCCAATTTTACAACATCTGCAACATCACAATCTCCCCCCCCCCCCGGTGTTGTTTC